AAAGCAATTATTTGTAATCCATTTCAAAATTAGTAAAACTTTTTTCTTTTACCGCAATGTTTATAAATAGTTGGGATCCCATGAAGTCTTATTCATCTTGCATTGCATTCTTTCTTTTGTTCACTTCAAGAAACACAATTTCATTTTTACAGGTATTCTAACAATGGATTTTAAGAGAGAAGCATTGGAGTACACTTTTCAGAGTCCTAACATTGAAAGCTTAAGAGAGCTAGCAGATCTCATCAAGAACCGTCACGCTTTCGCAATAGAATATGGAGAAGTTTTCTGTTTCCTCGAGCTCAAGATGAAAGGAGGGTTGTTGGAGACTCTTGTTCAGTTCTATAATCCGCTGTACCATTGTTTCACCTTTCCATATTACCAATTGATGCCGACTCTGGAAGAGTATTCTGATTTCTTGAGGATGCCTGTGACGGCCCGACCAATATTCACCGGCCAGGAAGAGACGCCCAGTCACCAAGAAATTGCCAACGCTACTCACCTCAGCCTAGCAGATGTTCAAGCGCACTTAACCACCAAGGAAGGAGTCCTTGGATTCCCAATTGATTTCTTGATTGGAAAATTTCGTTACCATGCTGAAAAGAAAGAGGTCCTTATCTTGGAAGCTACCTTTGCTTTATTGGTCTATGGGATCTTTTGGTTCCCTAAGATTGACGATTTTGTTGATATGGATGCAATTAAGCTGTTCATCCTTAAGAATCCGGTTCCCACCTTGCTAGCTGACATGTACCACTCAATCCACTCTAAGAATGCTGAAGGAGGAGGACATATCGTTTGTTGTACCGCTTTGCTGTATTCATGGTTCATTGCTCGCCTAACTCGACACCTGTCTATTTGGGATGAGGTAGAAACACCCCATTGGCCCGAGATAGTTATGGCCCTTACTCACTCTAACATTGTATGGTATGACCCTACTTATGGAGGTATATGTATAATTCCCAGCATCAGAGGATTCACCAACATACCGCTTATTGGGAGAGAAGGATGCATAAGTTACAATCCCGCTTTGGCTCGCCTCCAATTTGGGCATCCCATGATCGAAGTACCTGACCGAGCTCTGTTGGAAGGGATCTTTCTCAAGAAAGGAGAAGATCCAGACTTAAAGACCGTCATAATTTACGCATGGAGATACATCAATAAGGAAGGGACGACTGCTTTAGGATACCCCAATTTTGCTGTCTCTGAAGAATATCTACATTGGGTGAGAGAAAGAGCTTTCGACCTCAAGATGCCATTTCCTTTTCATGAACCTATGGTATTGGCTTTTCATGATCCTGATTGGTTTGATGAGAGTGAAGTAGATCAATTGAAGGTTGCCTTGGATGAGGCTCAGAAACTGAAATCCGCTTGGAGGAACAAGTTTTTCACCCTCAAAGTAGAGAAAGAGAAGTCCCAGAAGCTGCCAGAAGTAGAATTTGCAAGGAAAAGGAAGGCGCGAGAGGATTTATTTTCTTCTCACACCTCTTCCGGAACTGTCACCAGAGATGATCTTCCCCCAGCTGCCATGGTTTGGAAGGAATGTTTCGATCGACTCATTAATGAGAAGGCCGAATTACAAGAACACGTCAGCCAGTTAGAAGAAGAACTTCACGCACAGAAGGAGCATAGGGAGTAGATCTCCGAGTTTCTCTTTTGCTTTTGGTTCAATGTAATAAACTCTTAAAAGAGTACTTTGCTTTGTAATGCTTCTCGAATATCGATATTAAAATAAGTTTTTTATTCAACGTTATAATACCAACAAAAAAAACACTTTGAGTTTCTTGAAGTTTCATCCTGCATTCTGCATAGCATCTAGCATTTTAGCATGTGCATGTGTCTCTTCTCCGCTGCGTCCTCATCTGTCTTTCTGTCTTTTGTCTCGCCAGCCAACGTCTCGACCGATTTGACCAAGCTTGAAGTATTATTGAAGGATAGTAAAGAGAACAAAGATATGGATAGCATGACTGGCTTCATAGTAAGGACCAATCCGACATTTGACCATTCCTCAGACGACTTTGCTCAACAAATGTATGTTCCTGTGCAACCTCAGCCTGTGTAGGACAACATGTTTGCTGATCTTCATAACACTCATACTGAGGAGGAAGTGGACAATCCTAGAATTGCAGCAATGGAGAAAGAGCTTTGTGATCTCAAAGAACAAGTGAAGATGATGAAAGGAGCTAATGCATCTGGTCTTGATGCTCATGACCTATGATTAGTTCCAGGCGTAATTATCCCTCCAAAGTTCAAGATGCCTATTTTTGAAGTTTACAAGGGTGTTAGTTGTCCAAGATACCATCTGACGATGTTTTGCCGAAAGATGACTGCTTATATTGACAACGACAAATTAATGATTCATTGCTTTCAAGAAAGCTTATGTGGGGCATCCTTGATATGGTACATGAAGCTGCAAAGTAACCATATTCAGTCTTGGGAAGACTTAGTTGTTGCTTTTGTGAAGCAATACAATTACAATTTGGGTATAGCTCCGGATAATAAGGATGACAATGGATCTTCTAGAGAGTTCATAGCTTCGATATCTCGTCCTCAACATCAGTATGCAACGCCTGCTCAACACAAACAACAACCACCTCCCAAGCGGAAGTTGGCCTTTCCAGATCGATCGTAGAATCAATGGTTTCAGAAACGGTTTCGTAATCAGAAGATATCTTAAGATGTTCCGAGAAAAGGAATTCGTCAGTTTGACCCCATCCCTATGTAGTATGCTGACGTTTTTCCAGCATTAATCCAGAAAGGTCATATCCAGACAAGAGCTCCACCTAAGGTACCTGAGAAAATTCCGTACTGGTACAAAACTGACAAATTTTGCCCATACCATCAAGGTGCTCCGGGGCACGATATTGAGAGTTGTTACGGTTTGAAGGCTGACGTTTAAAGGTTGGTTAAGGACAGAATCTTATCCGTCAGAGGTTCCAATCCTAACCTCAACATAGTTCGCCCTCCGAGAACATGATCTAAGGTTATTTGAAAAACTCATATCAATATAGCGTCAGAAAGTATATCAGACGATTCAACGAGCCTCTCCAGTCCAAGGCGTAATAAAACCCAAGAAAGGGACTTGTTTGGATTTTCACTTTTCTTGTTTTTGTGTTTTTCGTTTCTTTGATTAAAAGCATGTTTGGCATGTAAGAACTTGTTATTTTGAATAATTAATGCAGTAGAATGTTTGTCTTGGAGAAATCCATTTGTTTTCGCTCGCAAAATGTTCTTCATAATTTATAATGCCAACTTTATCCAATTTTCTTTTTGGTGAATAATTGGAAGGAGGATGATGAAGTAAAACGCAGGATCTCTCGTTGTATGCTTTTGGATAACAACCCTACTAATGATGTAAGGCATTGTTTCAACTTCCCAAAAACACCAGAAATATTTAAACTTCCTTGAACCTAGATGAAGATTTTGTTTCTTTTCCCAAACCGAACCCTCATTATAACCTGGGGCAGGGTATAAAAAAAAACACCTTTCAAAATTTGGGTGGGCACAAATATACCTTAACCTTTCATTCCTTGTTTTACAAATCAGAAACTAAACCTAGACACAACCCTCAAAAGTCCTAATTGAAGTAAGGTTTACTTCGAAAGCATACTCAGTGAGATAACGTTTCCTGACTCCTATGAGCTATGCTCAACTTGATGATTGGCTTTATAAAACAAATTTATATCCTAACTAGTGATTTCGGTCACAAGTTATCGTGATATCTCTTTTCAAAACCTCAAGACGAACGTATGTTGCATTGATAAATTCGGAATTAGCATTTCTGACTTGCTAACCTTGTTTGATATCTTAGAAAGATTACACATAAGCATCAATGATAAGTTTATTCTATTGGAACTTGAAGACTCTGCTGACCTAGGGCAAGTTTATTTTTTAACGGTCTGTTCTGATGCAAATGTGACTTTCTGAAGAACCATTTTTGAAGACACAGATATACCGTCAATCAGGGCCAGTTACGTCGAGATTTGGCGAATCTCTCTAAGAGTTTGAAAATAGTGGGACGCCATGTTTTCTATAAAATCCTATTTGAAACGCTTGTTTCTCGTGAACCATGTGACTTGGAGCATTTGAGGGCTGATTTGATGACATCAACACTGAATTTCATCAAAACTCTCCGATGAATCTTTTCAATGTAAGAATACGAATGAACATTCGCAAACTTCACACTTCCAAAGAAGTAGATATTATTCGATTCCTCAGTGGATCTTCTACAACACCGGTCTTCTCCAGCGAAGCGGATGTTTATTTCATCCCCATCTAAAGCTCAACTCGAACGTGTTCAACAGCTAAAATGACACATGTTTCTCATTTGAAGAGGATATTTATTTTATCCCCTATAAAACTTCAGTTTGGGTATTTCCATCTACAATTCCAGCAAGAACCTCCCCAACGAAATGAATATTTATTTTATCCATGAAGATCCTTTTCCTTATCTTCAACAGGACAACCTTTCAGACTTATCAAGATGATACATCCCTAAGTGGATTAATCTCTATTCCCCAAGAGAAATTTTGAAGCCTTGAAGCAGGATTGTGATCCCATATTCGGTTCTCCACCTATCCCTAGTAATACTTCTATCTTTGAAGATTGGTCGAGATGTTCGTTCCGAGATGTTTATTTCATCTCCAGTTGCTTGTTTTGTCAGCATAAGCATAAGTAGAGCTGGCAAAACGGGCTACCCGGCCCGTGACGGGCTGGCCCATGACGGGATCGGGCTTTGTGCGGGCCGGGCTAAAAAGCCCGAATCATAAACGGGCTCCAATTTGATTGACCGAGCCCGGCCCTTCACGGGCTACGGTTTTTCGGGCCGACCCAGTTTTTGTCAGAAAAAAGAACATAAAATATGACAATATTTTGAAGAGTGTGAGGCAAATGAAAGTCTCAAATCAAATGAAGAGCCACAACACAGCATAGAAAATCAAGCTGACTTAATAACATCATATGAAAGAGGAAAATTAAATCCACCAACCTACTATATTGACTTTGAGATGCCACGCCATACAGGAGAGTTTTTGAGAGACAGTAAAACTTCAAGGATAAATGACAGCATAATAAAGCCAAATAATCATAGCTCAGAGGAAGAATTCTTATCATCACAAGATTCTCTTGATTCCTCAGTTACTCAAGATACCAGAATTAGATCCACTTCAGAATCAGAAGTACATGACAGTGGGTGTGAACCCAGCAAGGCTCAGTTCTTAACTTCAACAAATTCTCTAGACGTAGGAAAAACCACTATGTTTCAAGAATTCTACCATTGTGTAAATGGAGTATCAATGTTGGAAGAGAGAACCAATGGAAAGCTACAACAACGTGTGAAACAGAGCTCAAGAGTAGGCAGAAATGATATTCACAGTTTCCACCCAGCATCTGGCCATCCTTGCAGCTTTGGAAATCCACAAAAGCAACAACTGTCAGTAGCCACTCCAACAAACTATGAATCATATTACTCATACATACAAGGTCTGAACACTTTTCAAATGAATGGCGAGGAGTTTTCTTGGCCTAACACTGCTTCCATACACAATGAATTTCAAAACAACACTTATATGAGATTTGGCATCACCGGAGTTGGAGATAGTGTGGATAAACCCACTGAGATGCAGCATGAAAATGGAACATTAGGGTGTCCAGAGTTACCAACTATGAACCTTTACAGACAATTAAGCGAACACTCAGCCTTTATAGGAAATACTCCTCAATCTAGATCTAATACAAACTATAATCAAACTTCACCTAACCACCACCTTGAGGGTCAGAAAACCTTCCAATCAGAGGGCAAAACATATGTAGAATCATCACATAATTCTCACATATTGGGCAAAGAGCGAGGAATGAACAACATGCTAGCTGAACGAATTAAGGTATGTCCAACCACTCAAGTTTGTGGAACACTTAATTTTAACTAAAATCAATATACTGAGTTATAATACTTCTATTTATGTCAGGAATTCCTGAATAGACTGGTTAGAGATCATGGAAGCATTGACCTTGAATGGTTAAGACATGCTCCCCCTGATAAAGTAAAGTAAGCCAAAATCTTTTATCACCATTAACCAATGTCCTTCTAAGAAAGTTTCTATTTAGCAGACACTGCCAGCAAATAACAGAATATAATGCAAATTAACCATGTCCTTTCTACTGGTTTCAATATACAATATCAAATGCAGGGACTATCTGCTAAGCATGAGAGGGTTGGGGTTAAAAAGTGTGGAATGTGTACGGCTTCTAACACTTCATCATCTTGCTTTCCCAGTAAGGCTAATTTGAAATTCATTTCCTGCTTACTAGTATGCAAATCATTAAAAAACCCTTGCAATAACATGTTGCTATGCTCATGCCTTGAAGGTTGACACCAATGTTGGAAGGATAGCCGTTAGACTTGGATGGCCAAAGAACTATCAATATCAAGACATACTCATGTTGGTTTTGGTAGAAGCTTTATGAATAAAACTACAAAGGGCAAACTACTGTTTGTTGAGCATAGTTGTCACACCTAGATAGTGTGACATGGAGCAGCAATTCAAGAAAGAATAAGTGTGATGGCTACTATCTATGTCAAATTATGAATTGCATAATTGAGACTTGTCCATCCTCAGTAGAAATAATTGAGACTTGCATAATTGAATAAGTGTAAAGCTAAGTTCAACAGGTCTTCCAAACTATATAAAAGCATGTATGAAGACAAAGTTCTCAAGAATTCCAAATTGGTCATTCAAGGACATAATAACCCTCAAGAAAAAAGTGAACATTTATGTAAAAGTGAACATCCAAATTGGTCATTCAAAGACATAATACCTCCTTATGTTATATCCTGCTGCAATTAGTTCCTCTCCTACCACAATGCAATTAGTTCCTGCTGCAATTATTCATCTATGCAGCAAATCAACTTATGCAGAGTTATCATATCAAAGAGCTTAGAACTTATGCAGAGTTATCATATCAAAATAATAAAGAGCTTATCATATCAAAATAATAAAGAGCTTATGCAGAGTTATCATAACTTATGCAGAGTTATCAAAATAATAAAGAGCTTATGCAGAGTTATCAAAATAATAAAGAGCTTATCAAAATATCAACTTGCAAATTGTAAGTTTAACTGATCAATAACCAAAATAATTTGTTTCAGATAATACTACTTTTTCCATTACAAATACCAGAACATAAGCAAACAAATTCTCAGAACATAAGCAAACAAACACCAGAAGGTAACAAAACCAAGCAATACACAACACAAAAACAACTACCAGCAGCAGCAGCCAAGCAATTCTAAATCGGACAGAAGGTAACTGTCAATATCACAAGAACAAGATCAATTACACTTAAGCTGCTATTGATCAACTTCAACACTATCATTGATTTGTTCCATCAGAAAATTCGAGGTTTTCTTGACGAATGACTTCACGCTTATCTTCATCTTCATCACTGTCAATATCATATTCTACAAAAATAATATGTCATATATCTTAAGCTAGTATATCATTTTATAATCTATAAACCGTTATTCTAAAATTAAAATTTATACCTACAAAACCATGTAGCCAACTTCGTGTGCACATGAGAGCTTGAACGGTGTCATATTTTAAAGAGCTTCTATACTTGTTCAAAACTCGAGCACCAATGCTAAAAGCAGATTCTGATGCCACCGTGGTTATTGGAATGCTTAATACATCACAAGCCATCTTTGCAAGATCGGGACATCTTCGACTTCTCTCCTTCCAAAAAGCTAATATATCAAAAACAATTGAGGGTGGAAGCCTTTGCTCGGCTAAATAAACATCAAGTTTGGATGTTCCCGCGGCACTAACTGTTTGGCTTTCATACTCTTCAAATTCCTACAGATATATTAAGAATTATGAAATTCCTACAAATTTAAAAAATGTTAATGAAACTATGAAGGTGCTAAAAAAATTGATAAAATTAACTTACTTCACATACATACAATGATTTTGGCATCTTTGCATTGTTTCCTCCATATGAAGAATTAACTTGTTGTGAATGTCTTGTATTAGAAGAATGACTACCATTTTTAACATATTCTTCATACAATCTTGACAAATCATTCTTGACAATCTTCAACTTCTCTTCAGCTTCTAATGGATCAACTTGTTTATATGCAAATGACAAAAAAATTAGCTTCTTGGTTGGATCTAATATAGCCCCGAAGGCTAATACTGTACTATATTCGCTCCAATACTTGTCAAATTTCTCTCTCATTTTTATAGTCATACTCTTGATCACACAATCTTCACTTGTCAAATTTGACTTCAAAAGACATTCTATCTTCCATATTTCTCTTATATACAAATTTGATGTTGGATAAGAAGATCCAGATATCAAATTTGTAATATTGTAAAATGGCTTCAAAACTTCACAAATTACTTCAACTCTTTTCCATTCAACAATACTCGGACATAACTTGTAATTTGGATCACACAAACTTAAGCTATAAAAGGTACGCTGATAATTAATAGCACTCTCAAGCATGATATAAGTGGAGTTCCATCTAGTGGGGGTATCAGTCCTCAATCCAATTGATGTATCAATTCCATCAACATTGTTAACACAATGAAAAAATTGAATTGTTCTACTTTCTGATGCCCTCACATAATGCACACTTTGTCTAATTTTATGTAATGCATCACTTGCCACCTTTAATCCATCTTGAACAATAAGATTCAAGACATGTGCACAACATCTAATGTGAAAGAACTCTCCATTAAGTAACAAGCTATTTGACAATCCTAGGTGCTCTTTCAAATAGTTTTGCATGTTACCATTTGCAGAAGCATTATCTAAAGTGAGAGAAAAAACTTTTCTTTCTATGCCCCATTCTCGTAAAAGTTCCATCACCTTCAATGCTAATTGAGGTCCCGAATGTGGTGGTTTTAAATGAGCAAATGCGAGAATTTTATTATTCAGGTTCCAATTCACATCAACAAAATGAGCAGTTAAAGAAATAAAACCATGATTTGTACATGAAGTCCAACAATCAGAGGTAAGACAAATTCTTCCTGAAATTTGAGCCAATTGTGACCTTAACCTTTCTTTCTCAACCTTATAAATTTCCATTACATCCGCTTTAATGGTATTTCTAGAAATCCACCTACATTCCTCATTCATGAACTTTTGGTATTTTCTAAAGGCTTGCCACTCAACTATATTAAATGGGGCACCATGTGTAATTATCATTTCAGCTATAATTTCTCGATTAACCTTCTGGTCAAACTTTCTTCTTTTAAATTTTCCTTCCATATCAAGAAGCATATCCCCTACATTCCCATGTTTCTCAAGAAGAAACTTACAAGAATCAACATGACGAATTAAATGTGTGGTTCCACCGGTAGCTTTACAACCCAAAATAGAACCACAACCTTTGCATTTACACTTTTCTTTTCCATCAATACCAATACCAATCTTTATAAGGTGGTTCCACACATCAGATGTTAGTGCCCTCTTCTTTTTTTCCCTTGGTGTCGTAGTGGTATCTTGTGTATTGGCTATTGGAGATTGATTAACTTGTAGTGGAGGAGTTTCTAAAATTTGAAGGTCATCATCATCTAAAACTACACTTTTTCCAGCACCATAAATATTCATACTGAGACACTAAATAAAAAAGAAGCACATAATTATTAAAAAGAGAACTAAATACAAGAAGAAACATAATTATATTGATATTATTCATGACTCAAATTCTCATATAGACATTATTCATGACTCAAATTCTCATATAACATGATAATAGTTACCTTGAGAAAATATGTGGAGATTGATTAACTTGCAGTGGAGGATCAATTATTCACAATATTAATGAAATTAGTAACAAGATTGGGGTATTGATGCAGTGTAGAACTGAATCAGTGAGAGTGCGTCATCGTTGCCGTATTAATTGTGCCGCGGCCGTGTAGAAAACTAGAAACTAGGGTTAGAAGAAGTAAAAATTTAGTTTAAAGACTAGAAGTTTAAGTGTTTAACCAATACAAGAATATTATGACTTTAAATTAAAAGCACTTTAGAGTTTAGACACATCCAGTGCTATGCTATCCATCCAAAATACTGACTGTGAGTGTGTTGTGTCATACATTGAAGTGAACTGCTTGTGATTTTATTACGGTATTATGATACAGTGTGTATATTTTTAATAAAACTAGAAGTTTAATATAAATACATACAGTGTGTAAGTGTAACTAGTAACTACATACAATGTGTATATTATGACTTTAATATAAATATTATGACTTTAATATTATGACTGTAATGTATTATGTATCACACAAGTTGTATTTATTTTTAATATTTATTTTTAATTTTTAATTTTTATAAAATAAATGGGCTACCCGCAACTCGATCGGGCTAGCCCGGTTAGAGTTCGGGCTTCAACGGGCCGGGCTAAAATAGCCCAGATGATAAACGAGCCCTAATTTTCTTGTCCAAGCCCTTTATTTTTTCGGGCTTTTCGGCCCGGCCCGGTAGGCTTGGCCCATTTTTCCAGCTCTAAGCATAAGCATACGCATATCATATAGATAGATAGCATGGCATGTGCATTCTTGTTGCATCTCTTCGTGTTTGTTTTATTTTATCGCTTCGGCCGTGGTTACCCCCAGGCGTTCGGGTGTGTCTTATCCCTCCAAATAGAGTTGTCAGCCCTAGGCAAAAAGAGCACAATGTTTCTCTTTCCCCATGAAGTTTGATCCCCGTGGAAGATGGTTATTCCAGTACATTCCATTTGAGTTCATACCTCAATGGTCAAGTCTTACTTGATAGTTTTCTCTTCGGCTACTTCCCGAATTGAATTTCGGTCCTTGACAATCACCTTGCGGATAATCTCCAACTTTCGGATTCGGATTAAGGGTGCATTTATTTTGCACTCTATTCCCCAAGAATAATATTTTCGAAAATTTTTTTTAAAGACAAATTTTCTCAACCATTTACATTTGGACTACAAACATCTCTTTATTTGAGCAACTCATTTTTGATTAAGATCTTATTCAAAACGACAAACGACAGTTTCTACAAGACGATTGATTCACCCTCAATGGGTTCCTCAACATTATCAATTCGTCGAATGGCATCGCTTCGCAAATCCATCAAAGAAGTCCGCTAAAGACATTACAAGACACTTCTCTTTATTTGAGAGTTCCCACTACAAATATTTCTCTTCAGTTTAGAATCTACAATGGTATGCACTTCTACAACTACAACAAAGGTACTCCCCAGGAATATTTTCCCCAGTGGGTTCATTACACAAGATTAATTCCATCAAGTGACATCTCCCCAGAGAAATCGAGGAAGTTTATCACATTAGTCTCTCCTTATTTGAGAAGACATACTTTACAAATCAACCGGCTTATATCTCTTCTGAAGATCCTCGATGAAGTTCTACAATCTCCAATACATTATAAATTACAGTCTACAAAATTCTACAATTTACAACACATTATGGCTCACAGCCAAAAAACTCTGCAATCTACAACAACATCTATAATCTACAATGACATTTTGATCCCCTGTGAAGATGCTTGCGCGAGTTTTTGTCATTTCGGGCAGAGACTGAGACCAGCTCATGATTCCCATATCATGACACTCGGGGAAGTTCTACATCAGAGACTGAGACCAGCTCATGGTTCCCATACCAGGACGCTCGGGAAGGTTCTACATCAGAGACTGAGACCAGCTCATGATTCCCATATCATGACGCTCAGGGAAGTTCTACATCAGAGACGGAGACCAGCTCATAGTTCCCATACCAGGACGCTCGGGGAAGTTCTACATCAGAGACTGAGACCAGCTCATGGTTCCCATACCAGGACGCTCGGGGAAGTTCTACATCAGAGACTGAGACCAGCTCATGGTTCCCATACTAGGATGCTCGGGGAGGTTCTACATCAGAGACTGAGACCAGCTCATGGTTCCCATACCAGGACGCTCAGAGGTTCTACATCAGAGACTGAGACCAGCTCATGGTTCTCATACCAGGACGCTCAGGGAAGTTTTGCATTTTACTATTTCCAGTTGGATAATAAAAAATAAAAAGAATACGAAACAAAACTGAATTATTGACTCGATCAAGAAAATTCATTTGGATTTCTACCGACCACTACATTATGGTAGCAAATCTATCATTTGATTACTAGTTTCTCTCCTGTTGTCTAAATCACCATATCCTTGGTGTATGAGCTACTATTATACTTCTGGAGATTCCCCATTGGTGGTTGTTTCCTGTCCCCGTGGAGTCCCCTTTTGTCGAGCCTGTTCTTCCCGTGTTTTATATCTGGTTTTCCCCCTGTGATATCTTTTCCTCACAGGATTGTCTGTCTCGCATTTTCATGTCTTTGCATATCATTTGCATTCGGTGGCTTCTTAGGGCCAAAAATTCGCGCAATGTTTGTATTTAAGTCCCTCCTATCACGTCGAGACGAGACTTCAATCTCCGTACCTCCGGATAGAAGTAACTTAAATAGGGGCATTTGTTGCACCCTAATTTTTGACCTTAAGATTCCGCCTCTTTGGGTGTTTCTTTCGTTTTACCTTTCACTTCTATGTGCGACTAACAAATGTGTGTAGGAACATTGATTTCAAGGGTAGACTCTACTTATTCTCACAGCCCAGTCTTTCAGGACGTAATCAATGTGATTCAAGACCCTAAAAGTTTTCTACTGGTTTGAGCCTTATAAGATTGACCAACTGTTTCTTCTATGGCATTCAGGTTGGAACGTATTAATGTCACTTTACTTAGGGGTTTCAAGAGCCTCAGTATGTATCACAAGGAGAATTGGGGTGTTCCCTCCCTTGGTGTTAAGTATCATTATTTGGGTTTGTTTCTTTGCAGGTTGTGCACCATGTCCATCATCATTTAAATATTTCTTTGTGAGGGTAAAAAGACTTAAGATCTGATTCATTCAAGTTACTTTTGGCTCATCCTCAAATCTATGAGTTTTGGCAAGCAAAGTTTTGTGCTCTAACGTGAGATTGTAAATCGTGTTGCTCATTTAAGTTGTAAATGTCATATACGAAATTGGGCCCAATTACAAAGTACATATCCGTGTGGTGGATCCAAGATTATTTAAAGTGCCCAAGTTGCAAATTCAAGGAGATTCTATTATTTTTATGAATTTCATAAAGTAGTAACTCAAAATTTGAAGATACCAGAACTCTACAAGGCCATATCCTTTGATCCACAGTTTCTACTCCAAGGATATTATGTTCAGAACTATCGTCTCAAAACCACATACTATGACATTTTATGCATCAAAATTTATATACAACAGAGGGCCACAAAAGAATTTAAATGAAGATTTAAATTAAATGCAATTTGGCTTCATCTCTCAAAAGCTATTACAAAGACTCTTGACAACTATTACAAAAAATCCAAACTTCCTACAAGCTTAAGCGGATTGTTCCTAGCTGCAATTTTCAAGCACTACTGCTGCCAAGGCTTTTCTTTTTTATGACATGGTCGCTTCGACCGTCAGCTATGTTGGACCCCCATCATTGATCATCAATTGTAGATCAATCCCGTCACAAATCTGAACCAGCAAGACATCTGTTCCTCCAGCAAGTATTGACGAGAGCAATTTCGAACTCATCCATTTGAAGATTTCACCGGTGGATCTCGAGACCTGCCATAACAACATTGAAACGTCAACAGGTCATTGGGAATGAGCTCCCACTGCTACCATTTGAGTTTAATTCAAATGAGTAACGGTATTTGCGGAATAGACTTTATAACAAGGTACATCTAAGCATATCCAAGGCAATCTTTAATCCCTAGTTGAGATGCGAGTAAATAACAAAACACGAAGGAAATGTTGTTCACCTTTACTACCGACAACACCCTCCGCAGCCCCATTTCCCAATCAGCTTTCCGCATTACAAATCTTGGCGGAGATTGGATCTATTAGCTCACCTGAATCATACGCTAGTGGGAATTCACTTCTGGAGCAATTTCTTCCTAGACAAATTTCAATGACTCGAGCAAGACGTGAATGGAGGTCCTAAGAAATATTTGCACTCAGCTGAGTTGAGAGACATAATGCAATCTGATAGTAGCAATACCGCAATCCTTTTCAAAATGTGAGTAGCCGGTGTTCTTCACATATTCCAGTTTGAAACCAAGTAGGGAGCTTACACAAGTCAGACCTAAGGTGAGTCTAAAGATGTTACAAAGATGAAGAACATAACGACTTGGAGCTTGAAGTCCATCACTTGCCATACCCCAACACAGACCGAGATAACCAGGACGAGAACAGCAACATGCACATTGAGTTACTCCAGATATCATCATCATACACATGAAATGTAAAAGATGTCTAGAAACACATCAAATTAAATAAAAACCAAAGGAATAGAGATGAAATTGGAAAAGAATATACTCTGCGTTCAGCTTGCAGTTGCTACTCTTCACCACCAGCATTTTTTTCCTGTGGAAGTTCTCGCTAGACACGCATCAAACACGAGTTTCCCCTCTGGGCTTCTAATCCGACTTCTGGCCCAAGACCATTGCCACCTACACCTGCCAGGTCATAATCACAGAATCAAAACCGTTAGAGGATATTCCCTGAAAAAATAGAAGATGCGATTCAGAATCAAATCAAATC